GCCTTCACCAGAAGAACATCTTTATGGCTGCCTTCACCAGAAGAACATCTTTGTGGCTGCCTTCACCAGAAGAACATCTTTATGGCTGCCTTCACCAGAAGAACATCTTTGTGGCTGCCTTCACCAGAAGAACATCTTATTGACTGCATTCACCAGAAGAACATCTTTATGGCTGCCTTCAATAGATGAACATCTTCATGGCTGCCTTCACCAGAAGAACATCTTATTGACTGCATTCACCAGAAGAACATCTTTATGGCTGCCTTCAATAGATGAACATCTTCATGGCTGCCTTCACCAGAAGAACATCTTTATGGCTGCATTCACCAGAAGAACATCTTTATGGCTGCCTTCACCAGAAGAACATCTTTGTGGCTGCCTTCACCAGAAGAACATCTTCATGGCTGCCTTCACCAGAAGAACATCTTTGTGGCTACCTTCACCAGAAGAACATCTTTATGGCTGCCTTCACCAGAAGAACATCTTTGTGGCTGCCTTCACCAGAAGAACATCTTTATGGCTGCCTTCACCAGAAGAACATCTTTGTGGCTACCTTCACCAGAAGAACATCTTTATGGCTGCATTCACCAGAAGAACATCTTTATGGCTGCCTTCACCAGAAGAACATCTTTGTGGCTACCTTCACCAGAAGAACATCTTTGTGGCTGCCTTCACCAGAAGAACATCTTCATGGCTGCCTTCACCAGAAGAACATATTTATGGCTGCCTTCACCAGAAGAACATCTTATTGACTGCATTCACCAGAAGAACATCTTCATGGCTGCCTTCACCAGAAGAACATCTTTATGGCTGCCTTCACCAGAAGAACATCTTTGTGGCTACCTTCACCAGAAGAACATCTTTGTGGCTGCCTTCACCAGAAGAACATCTTTATGGCTGCCTTCACCAGAAGAACATCTTTGTGGCTACCTTCGCCACGGCTTAAACACGCCTGATGTTGTTTAGTTTTCATTCGATTATTGTAGGAGTCTTACAAAATACAATTCATTAAAAAAAAACACTTCTTGAACATAAAGAAGACAACCGACTTGTAAGGTTATTTCAAGTGCCAGACATTTCAAGAGATGTTCACGTCATTACAGAAAAGACAGCATCAGTGTGATTCTTACATCAAAACCTAGATACCGGCAAGCACTGGCACAGATTTTATTATCGATTGTATAACATAAAATCAAATCATTCGTTTTTGTTTTGTTTTTCTCTCTTTTAGAATTATATTAGACAAAATCTGAATACATTTACACCACAAAGGATATAACGTTTCAAGACTTGTTATCTTTTTGTGGTTTCTCAGATGCAAAGCTTTTCTTATGTTATAGAAATACCCGAACACGAACGATAACAGAAGATGAAAAAACGACTCATTCATATGGTCATACTACGTGCTAACCCTATAAAGTCAGACACTGGATAGTCAAACAGCGGGATACCCAACTATCTAGGTTTCACAAACCCTTAAAATGTAATAATAAAACTACTGGTTAACCAATAATTCCTCTTATAACAAATCAATTAAATATTTTAAATTGCAAATGTAGGCTTTTCATGAAATACAATATAAGTTTTAGAAGTAGGATATTACCTGACTTCAAAAATCAGACAAGAACTATTTCCCTGACTTAGTCAAGTTTCTAGGTTGAAGTTATAGATATGTTACTATATCCAATCGTTTGACGATAGTAACTTTTATCAAGCCATATAATTTAGTTATACATTTATCACAAGCTCTGGAATATACATTCTTAATACATCAGTAAGCAAGGAAAATAGCAATCAGTCTACAACTTTCAACTTAAAAGCCTAATGTTAGAGGCAGCGGTAAGTTTACGTAATCATAACGGGATTAGATTCCCCGTGGTGGTTACAGCAGATAGCCAAATGTGGCTTTGCTCTAAACAAACAAACTCGAACACGGTGTTATGAACTCAAGGCATATAACAAAATTTAGTTGACCTAAAGAAAGGCATTAGTAGCTAAGTATTTCTACTGCTATTCAACAATTTTGTAATAATATCAAAATGTCTTACTTACAAATTACACGTGAATGTGGTTTATACGACAGTCGCTTCGAAAATGTTCTCTTTTAGTTTTGTTATACGGCCACTTGATCAGGCTGTCTAATCTTCGCTCTGAGTTAATCTTTACCTCTACTTGAGATTCAAGTCTTCGATAAACCGGTTTAAAGAGTTAAATTGAACAAAAATTATCTCTTACTTTCGTCAACCACAGTAAATATTACTTGGAAAATTATTGGTTACAGCACGCACCTCCAAGTAGTTTGGTTGCTCGAAAGACGGTCTGTTTCAGACGACGTCACTAGTCTCAGTAAATCTCGCGAGAAATCTATTATTGGTGTTATTATAATTGTTTATAATTTTTTATTCAGCATTTTGTCATGTGACGCTCTACATACACGTTCTCGAAGCCTGTGTTACCAAATGATACTCGAACTGTAAAGTGTCCGAACTGTGATTGGACAAAAGTTAGTATGACGTCAGATGAACAGCCTTGTACTTTATAATCGTTAGTTGACATGTATGTATTGAAGTCCGGTTGATTTACATGTGGAATCTTTTCGGCAATGAAACTTTACACATACTGAACTTGAACGGAGTATAATGGAAGAAACAGAAATGAGTTTACAGAAGAAAGACTGCCAGAACACTCAAAAATCGTGTTTGATTTCTCATCATTGGACCGAGATGGAGAATTACATCAAATTCATCACCATATTGTGAAATTACACGGTATTCGTTAAATATACACGTCTAATTTCTTCTTCTCAGAGCTCTTTCTTTCGGAAGGTTTATTTATTTATTTCCGAATTTCGCGCAAAACTACACAATGGATTTCTGTGCTGTGTACACCGCGAGTATCGAACCCCTATTTTTTTTTGGCGTCATAAGCCTTCAGATTTACTGAGCCACCGGGAGGGGTAATAACATTTGTTTCACAATTTCGCACAAACTTACACAATGGATTTCTGCGAATAGCCATCTCTAATTTAACCTTACAGTCAACAACGTCCTCTGTCAATATTTGTGTAATTCAATAGTTGGGCTTGACAGTCATAAAGTGCTGAAAGAGTTTCTGTTGCTTGACAGTTGCAAAGTGGTGAAAGCGTTTCTGTTGCATGAGAGTCACAAAGTGCTGAAAGCGTTTCTGTTGCTTGACAGTCATAAAGTGCTGAAAGAGTTTCTGTTGCTTGACAGTCGCAAAGTGGTGAAAGCGTTTCTGTTGCATGAGAGTCACAAAGTGGTGAAAGCGTTTCTGTTGCTTGACAGTCATAAAGTGCTGAAAGAGTTTCTGTTGCTTGGCAGTCACAAAGTGCTGAAAGCGTTTCTGTTGCTTGACAGTCACAAAAGTGCTCAAAGCGTTTCTGTTGCTTGACAGTCCACAAAAGTGCTCAAAGCGTTTCTGTTGCAATTTCTCCAGAACATCAATACTCAGATTCATAGTCTGGGCATGCTAATCACTGGCCACGCCGGGCCCTTCTTGAATTTTTAATACAAACAGAACTTCGAAAAAAGTTTTTCTTGTACTTATATTCATTGAATTTCTGAAATAAACACTTAAATTCTGTCATACAAACGCTACTTGACAACGTGCACGTGTTTACTTTTGTTAAGTGAAAATTAAAAAGAGCCCCCTATCTCCATAAAACATTACACTTATTACTTCTATTTTTTTTATATTCTATTCCAGGTAAAGATTATTTTTTTTCCAATGGTAAAAAGGGTTGTTTCCTTTATCAGTCACGGTTTTTTACTTTAAAAGCTTTAGAAACGTGCATGGTCAAATTATTTCGTTCCAACAATGTTAAGCACAAAGAGACTGTTGCACTCACGTGACCGAAAGCATCCGCCGTAGCGGTAGAAGCTCGCCTCCCTGCGTGTTACTGGAACTATTAGAACAATTACATTGTACAAGACTTTTCCCCGAAGAACGTGTTGCTCTAGGACTAGTTTCATATATACTAAGTAAGATAACAGATAATGCCAGAGCACACTTTCCATTCGTGCGATGTCAAGTTAACCGCGAAACATTAATGGTTGATTTACGTTTGGCGTCGTCTGCACATATAACTTGCTCTCCACCTCTTCGGCCAATTCAGCCTCTATCCGCCACATTAGTTAAGACAGTCAGTAATGTGCAGATGACATTAAAAGAGTAGCGGTTCAATGAAAGAAAAAGAGGATTTTTCAAGCATCATTGATTCAAATACTTTGAAAAATATTGTAAACTTAAACTACCGTAGAAAAACAAAAATGTGTCTGAATGTACGAGATTAATTATAGTATATTCTACAAAAGAAATTAATATCAAATTTCTTCGAAGACGTTTCATTCAATTACTCACAATTTGTTTATACCAGATTGACGCCTTTGCTTTACATATAGATTAACAGATGTTGCTGCCATTAAACATATTGGTTTTTAGTCTTCACTTTAGCCGGCAGAATTGTATCGTTTGTTTTATCAGCCTCTTACTCTACAGGAATAATCTCACACTCATAAAAACGATGGCAACTCCCATAGTTATGATGTATTAGTTCTGTAGACGCAATAAAAAGTCTGTAACTTTTTGATAAATTATTAAACATCTTTGTTATTATACAATGGTCGTTATAATTTTAAAAAATCGATAAAACGTACAAATGTAAATGAATAATATTAACATTAGTGCTTGTACATTTACATCAACTAGGCCTAACCACTTGATAACCGTCGTTCATCTGGCTAATTATTTTAACAATGCTGACGCAGTCTTTCATACATCATTTGATGAGATGAGATGTGCGTCTAACGGAAAAACTTGAAACTCATAAATCAGTGTTGTTTAGGGCGACTTTATTTCAGATCTAAGCAAGAACTTTTGTTTTTTTACCCATAATTCACAAGAGAATCACTTAATAGTAAACAATTCTATTTGTACTTTGATTTTTATATAACATTTTTATTTATAAGCTTGTGCTTTTCACGTTATCTATAACTCACATGTTAATTTTATTTTTAGTTTTTAATGCTTTTAAATATAATTTATTACCTTAGTTTTTAAAATTTCACAAACATATTTTACTCATAACGCTATTATTGTTATTGTTGCTTTTTTTTTAGAGCAAAGCCACAAAATGGACTATGTGCGCTCTATTCGCCACGGAGAATCGGGCCCTGGACTTTAGTATCTTATATGGAACATGCAAAGCAACATAAAAAATACGAATATTAATTTTTGAAGACGTTTTTATTAGGAGTTTTCTTGCTGAAAAGTTTTCATACCGAATATTCTTTTTTTTAACCTGTATAGCCAGCCCCATTTTAAAGTTCACCCAACACTTTAAACCAGATATGTCACGCATGTACGCAAGAGCCGAACCCCTATTTTTGTGATGTAAAACAATTATGTTTATATAGTAATAGCTGCAGCTACTTATGGTATTTAATGTTTTCTACATAGTTTACATTCTTCTGGTGAAGCATTAGCATTTTTTGTCTTGAAATAGTGATAGGCAATGGCTTCTGTTGAAATCTTTTAATTGGAAGCTCGAAGCCGTATTGCTACTGTCAGTTTTTGTAGGCCGGATCCTTTACAGTTGGTGTCTGTGACAAACAGCAACAGAGTCCACTTGTTTTAAAATAATATATTAAAACAAATCAAACGTATATACAAATGTTCGTTACACTGTTGGTTATCACAGTTGTATCCGGAGCTTTAAATAATTGTCTATTTTTCGTCAAAGTCCACTCAGTCTGGTTCAGTTACTTTAGAACACAATTGACAATACGAATTATTCTTCTCTATTGTGTTATTACAATACAATCTGCGGTAATTTCACTTTAAAAATCGACACTATACACTTTTTTATCGCTAAACTCACAGTCATGCAGTCTAGATCTAAATAATAATATTTCGACGCGTATTTATACCCCGACAGAAGTTTAGAACATTCCACACAATACTAGATATTTTGATGCAATAATATTCAATTAAAACAACAAGAATAATGTAGCATGCTAACATGTTATTTCAGTAGTGCTAAACATGTATGCATATGATAACCAATGACTGAAATAGCTAATATACTGTTAAGTATCTGCTTGTTTGTTAATTTCCGGTAGAAATTCTTTCCGAGGAACTTCAGTGATACAAGTCCTTTCTTGATTAAACCAATTTATTCTTTCTCAATACACTTTTAGTAATACACAGAATTTCCACAGTCACTTTAAACTTAACAACCGTTATAACACACGCTATAAATCACAGTGATTCACACATTTTTTCTTACGGTACCTACTGTTCGCTTGACTCAATTATCTATCTCTTCAATCTGTCTGGTTTTTCTCGCCAGGCTTATATATTAAAAAGAGGGCGTCTCGAATGCACTCGGGCCTTCATGATCTTTCGAGAAACTCCAGCGCGCATGCTCCCAGATTCGCGTGGCTTCCGCTGTCGTAACAATACTATTGTTGTAAAGAGTTGTTTAAATTCGTAATATAATTTAACAATTAATAACTACTGTACGTGTATACAGTACTTTACTATAATAAAACATACATATTTATGTTAATTTCAATCTAGCACCCCATGCAGTGTTACAACATAATGATGATTTATTGACTTTTCATTGTATGTTTGTGGATTTTATGTGAACAGCCATGCAACTGTTTAAGCTATATTTCATGGAAAATTGTTTCTACATTTAATCTCATAGCACCTATTTTTTGCAAATTTTCTGGGGGAGGGGGCACCTCTATACCCCCTAACATTACCATGCTTTGCACAATGCGTTGGCTTTTGATCTCACAAATTACAAACCCTCTCCTTTCAGACATTCTGCGTACTTATCTTTGTATGATATCGAGACTGGACCACCCACCGACATCACGCGACAAAATTAGTCTCAAGTTATTTCAAAGGTGAATAATATTATAAAATTAGTCTAATGTCGTGGAGCCACGTGAGCAGGGAAATAAAAATCTATACTTAATGTCTTCTAAGTTTAGTGTTTGTGATTTAAATTAAATAAACAGAAACTAGAATTTACAAATAGGACGTGAAAAAGACCAGGATAACTTTCGTGTTAAAATAAGTCAATGTTAAAGTGGAATTAATCAATATTAGTATCCAGTTGCTTTAAATATACGTTGCACGAGAAAAAAACAATAACAGCAAAAACTAAAGCCCAGCTAAACTATCAATAAAAACTAAAGTCCAACTAAACTATCAATAAAAACTAAAGCCCAGCTAAACTATCAATAAAGACTAAAGTCCAACTAAACTATCAATAAAAACTAAAGCCCAGCTAAACTATCAATAAAAACTAAAGCCCAGCTAAACTATCAATAAAGACTAACGCCCAGCTAAACTATCAATAAAAACTAAAGCCCAGCTAAACTATCAATAAATTTGATACAAAGTCTCACGAAACAAGAGCGATGACGTCACTACAAGCGATGTACAACTGAAGTGACTTCACCATCTCACGAACGTCAACGAAACTCAAATTATAAACTATTTATCTTACAACCAAAACAAACACCAACTTCAGACCAAGTTCCGCACATTATAATGTTGTAGGAAAACAACAACTTCAGACCAAGTCCCGCACATTATAATGTTGTAGGAAAACAACAACTTCAGACCAAGTCCCGCACATTAT